TCTTAGTCTCCAGAGAGATACCATTGCTCTTCAGTACTTTGGAGAGGTCCCTAACAGCAGACTTTCCCATCAAAATACATCTTTTAATTACCTGGCTGCTGGTGCCAAGAGTGTTGACTGGGAAGCCAAGCAAACTAAAGTTGTGAACAATCTCAATCTCTTCACCATCCATCCTGATGCTGCCAATTGGTCCAGTGGTGAGAAATACAAAGAAAGAGGAACCCATTGATGATAGCATTATACAATTAGGTAGTTTCCTTTGTCTAGTATCATGGTCTACAAGAAATATTTTTAACTATTTGGCTTCTTCTTTTTGTTGTTAGGTGTCATTTAGTTGGCTACGACTCACAGAAATCTTATGAAAAGCAGATCTGTATCTTGCTCTATCCTATGTCATCTTCATCATCTTAGATATACTTGAGCCCATTGTTACAACCACTGGTCAATCCATTGTTAGGTGAAGGCAGGCATCTTGGTAGCACATTACAACAACAATGGCTTGAATCAGATACACCTTGGTCTTTAAATTGACATCATTCTTTGTAACACTGTGGACAGTTCCTTGACAGCAGATTTACCTAATGAAATACTCTTTTATTTTACTAACCAATCTCAAGTATGAATTGCTGGTTATTCTCTAAAGCTATGGAAGGCCAAAGAGAACATCATACCAGATATAGCACAATGTGCTAGATGTTGAGACCTCTTTTCCCAGGCAAATCAGAGCTGAATGTCATAGCAGAGTAGAAATTTTTCTCACCATCACACACAATTCTCTAACTCTTTTGAGAGCCTCAGGTTTGTTCCACTTACTCTTCTCCCCTCCCCTTTTGAAAGAATATTATCTTTCCTATTATGACCTTGACTTAAATTACCATAATTTTTTTCTGTGTTCATGACCTAAATTTGCCTGGAGACAATTTGACTTTTCCCCACTAGACACTGAGCTGTAGTATGTCATGCCTCACATTGCCTGGATAGTCAGTCTGCCTGCAGTCATAAATATTATAGCTAAGTTTGCCAGCCATGTGCTGATGAAGAAGCTGCAAGGGTGATGCACATATCTCTCTTCCCAGGTGTTTACAGAGTGGCAATCCTTGTGTGAAAGTTCCCCCTTCATCGCCTGGCAGCCTCTGCTGGCATCAATTCCTTCAATTACTGTATTCTTGAATAATTGATGGAGTTAAGTGAATGCTGATTCCTTTTTTTATTCTCCCCACCAAGTTCCCCTTGAGTGCTTGAGAAACGTGAGGCAATTTATGATGCTTTTTTGGTGCAACAGTGCATAGACTTCTTAAAGAATGAATTTAGACTTTCCCTTCCTGATTTTAATACACATATATGCTGTTCTGGGGTCTGCCGTGTTTAAAAAAAAGCCCTGATTAGGAGATCTGGCTCAGCAACATCAGCAGACCCAAAGAACCCAGTCACAGACCCCCTGGTGCTTTTTTGCTTTTTTTCATCTTGTTTCATTTTTCCCTTGGAGAAAGACCCAATTACAAACATTTGTGGATTTTTCTAAGGATGTTTCCTACACAGAGGTTACATTCAGCTCTTTGGCAAGGAAAAACACCAGTGCAATTAGTGCCTCTGGGGCACCACTAGCCATTTGTGTACTGTTTCAGTAGAAGCCTTTGTAAGCATCAGTCGCCACCACACAGAAGCTCCTTTCAGAATTTGAAAGCTTCCTAACCATTCAGAACAGGCTTAAAACTGAAATCAATGGTCCTTGCCTCCCAAGGACACCTGTGTTATATATTCTAGAAGAGACTGTATCATGGCCGCGTACGATAAGGACGTGGGCTCTTTTCATCATCCTTGTCTGCGTACCTCCAGCCTGTGAGCTCTCATTTCTCTTCCTCATTCAATCATCTTCTCTGGTAGATGTCCAGAAAACCTGCTGCCTAAATGAAGGAGTCTATAGCTTCAGGGAAGTTAGTCATATCCTAGGTGACATTCTAATAAGAAACTCATTTTTGTGTAATAGCCCAATTGGAACTAATTCTCCAATATCCCTCATGGTCAAGAAATGACACATTCAAATTAATCGAATGTTCTGGTACCTTGTGCATGCTCATGTTTATTGTAGGTGGTGATGCTCCATCATACGGGATGATCAATTTGTAAAGAATTAGAAATAATTAGCTAGAAAGCCAAGAAAAATATTAGTTAATCTTTCTTTGACTGAGACATTTGCCTAGAATGTTTCGGGTACTTCTTAGTCAGGATTAGAGACAGCTGTTAGTTTTCAGTGTCTATACAAATAGTGCAGGTTAATAAGGTGCTGGCTAATAGAATGCCAGAACACAGAATTTATTATCACACTCAAGCATTAATGCAAAACTTAATCTCCCTGCCTTTCCAAAGAAACCAACAGAGCCTGAACTATTTTAATGGCTTAAATGAACCTTAAATACATGATAACTTTTGGAAGGCAACCTTTAAAACTCACTCACTGCTATTAAGTCTATCCCACCTCATAGAGACCCTCCATTGGGTTCCCTAGGTTATAAATCCTTATGAGAAGAGAATAACCATCTTTCTTCTAGAAGCTACTGGTGGATTTGAACTACCAGGGATTGGAAGCTTTTTTTTTTGGGGGGGGAAGCTTTTTTATTAGCAACACAACACGCTACAAACTACACCACCAAAATTAAAAGCCACGCCATTGCATTGGATAAATCTGCTGTTAAGGATCTCTTTAGAGTGTTAAAAAGCAAGGACTAAGGTGAGCCTGGCCCAAACCATGGTATTTTCAATTATTTCATATGCTTATGAAAGTTGAACAATGAAGAAGGGAGTTTAAAGATTTATGGCATCCTTCTTTGGGTGGGACTTGAGGCTGGAGTCCATGCCATGGAGGGTTTAAAGTTTAATGGGTGGTTCTCGCTCTAGTCCCTCTTCTCTGATGTCGTTCATGCACTCAGAGTGTCCACTGCTTCTGACAACACTTGTGTACTCAAAGCATTCTACGTGTGTCAATATTGGCTTCCTGCTTCTGATAGCTCAATTTTCCAAGCATAAACCTCTGCCTCTTAACTTCTTGGTTCTAACTCTAACACGATTGAGGACCTTATTCTCCTTCCCTGACCCTCCTTCCACCTTTCCAAACTTGATGTTCTCAGGGAGCTCCAGAGGCCTACTGGAAAGTAGGTGCATTGCAATCCCAAAGGCATGCAGTTCAACTCCACCAGCTGCTTAGCAGGAGAAGAATGGATAATCCAAATTTGATGTTCTTTTCTAAAGAGTTGCCCCTCCTAAAAGGACAAATATTGCATAGGGTCACTGCTGTAAAACGGGACTGACAACGGGGTTGAGGGAAGACAGAGAAGGAGGGAATGAATGATGTATATAGTGCATTGAAACAGATGAAGGAGAGAACTATTTAAAAGGGATATATGGTTAGGTATTATTGTCATGACAGGAGTTCAGAATGAAGGCTGCATAGTGAAGTGGACTTGGGGGAGGGATTGCATAACAATGAAAGAGGTGTTCTTTTCCTTTTTAAGGAGAAGAGTGAATTGCGGGGGAGGGGTGGGCAGAGAAAAACGTGCAACAATGTATGACTGGAAACCCTAAGTCTCTATAAACTTTCATTAACATTAATTAAAAAAAAAAAGTCACCTCTCCTGACCACATGCTCAAAGTGTGTGAGATGAGATCTCACCATCCCTGCTTCTAAGGAGCCCTATGTCGTACATCTTCCAAGGCAGATTTCATTCTTTGCGCAGCCCATGTTGTTGTTGTTGTTGTTGTTAAGTGCTGTCGAGTCATAGGCGACTCATAGCAACCCTATGATCAAAAGTCCTCGACACTGGCGTGCGTGACTTTCATCCTCTTCGTAGAGTTTCTGGAGGCAAGCAAGCTGTTTACGGAAGTGGATGCCACTCCTGCTTCCAGACTTGTTTCAACCGGAGAGCTCCACCAAACACTGTCCACCACGGTTAACCATTAACGCATCTGACACATCAGTGTCACAGTGTTCAGCTTCACAGCAATCACAAGTTACCTCTGTTCAGCAAGTGCACACTCCAGGGCTATACGACCTAGAAGACTGTTTGAACAAAAACAATGAAAAACAGTCTTGAGGGCCGTTGCACAGCCCATAGTGTACTCAGTTTTCTTAGCCAACACCACAATTCAAAGACATAAATTCCTCTTTAGTTTTTTACAGTTGGTCAATAAATAGTTGGGTAAATGAATGAATAAACTTGTTAATCAGAATCTTTTATATGCCTTAGAACTTGGATCACAAACTCCTAAATAATTCATTTGAATATAATGAAAGAGGTGACAATAGCCACTTATTTTGTGTTCAGAATTACATATTTATTTAATTTTCCTATAAAAAGTATCTTAAGTATAGGCTTCTAACAGTGATATTTGGTGAATAGAATATAAGCATTCCTTGTATTTCTTTTTTTTTTTTTAATAAAAACTCTATGGTAGCAAATGGTGTTGCTGTGCTTTTCCGTCTCATAAAACATTACGAGGAATAGAGAACAGGATGGGAACTATCAGTGTGTGCTGTATGTGAGAAGTTTAAATATAGTTTCAATAAACTTTTCCATTTATGTGTATACTCACAAGGAAAAATTATTTTTCCCTATCTTTCAAAGTCAGAAAACACACTCACATTTTCCATGTTGCAGTCTCTCCTCCGGCTGCTAGTATAGTTCTTCAGAGTCAGGAATGGATTGTCATCCTGCAATGTTCTGACTCCTTGTAGCCTATTTGCAAGGGAAGCTTTCCCAGAAATGCACCCCGGAGTTTGATTTCTGAAATGCTTTCTTACTGATCAGCATACCTTGCTCCTCCTAAAGTGTATGGGCTTGTGAGAACATGTGTTTCCAGAGTTCCTTCTTCTCTGTGACCTACTGGAAAGCTTTAAAAGCAACCAGAAAGACGAAATTCAAAACAATGATTTTATGAGCTATAATGACTGCTAAAATAAAATATATATTAATTTCTCCCCCTCCCTTTTTTATCCTCTCTCTAAGCTGCCTGCCTTGTGCTTGGCTGTATGATTTTCCCTGATGGCTGGGATTCAGATGAAGTAAAACGGATGTGTGGAGAAAAGACAGACAAGTACACTCTGGGGGCTTGTTCCGTCCGCTGGGCATACATCCTGGCGATTATCGGAATCCTGGATGCCCTGATCCTCTCATTTCTGGCCTTCGTGCTTGGTAACCGACAAGACAGCTTGATGGCAGAGGAGCTGAAGGCAGAAAACAAAGGTAAGGTTGCCCTGGGGGCACTTACTCAGGTGCCTGAAGCACAAAGTTTAACGGTACTCCTTCTTCCCCACCAATACTAATACTTCTCCTGTGCTTCAAAGTGGCTTCCTTCCACTCCAGAAGTTTGTACACTTATAACACAGTATTTCTGTTTGTTGTTATTGTTGTATTTCATTTTCAATATTCTTCTTTCTTCTATCTCTGATTCCAGTTTTCTGTCATGAGTTAATGGCAAAAAAGCACATTTTTAAAAATTAAAACCCATGATACAACATATTTCTCTATTTGGTTGAATGAAGAGTGCTTCCTCTCTATGTATTTGTTCATGTATTTTTCAGGTTGAAATAAATGCTTGGAAAATCTCATGGAAGCATCTCCAAATGTCATTCTTAAACTGCTCACAGCCATTTATTTGAATTTAGACTCATCCTTTCTGAAAAGTAGCGGTATGACTCCAAATACTGCCAGTTAGAGATTTTGCTAGTTGCATAATTGGCTGAGTTTTAAATGCATTTATCTGAGTAATCAAATATCCTGAGATTTCTTTTCAAGAAGAAATTGCCTTTCAAAGAAGATAAACTAAGAAGATAGGGCAGTGACCAGTGAATAAGTATAAATATCAGAATGAAGCCATAAGAACTGGCGAGTCTCTATGCAGGCTGAACATTTTCATTTTCTCTGCAGAAGAACTCTAAGCTGATGTCTTGGGATAGAATTTTAATATCTCTCCTTTAGATTCTTTTAACTGTTTTATCTTTCTGTTAACTATAACTTTCATATTTGAGTCTTAGGTCGGCAGTTTCTGCTAAACAACTTTTTCTTCCAGCTTTCCTTCCTGACTGAGAACGAAATCTATCCTTGAATTATGAAATGTATTGTTTCAAATAGTTGCTAATTTAAAAAGCTCTTTGATGTTTCAACTTTAACTTTGGTATCAGCATATCTTAGTATCTATTTTATACAGGCATCAACCCTCTCTCCCTCCTTGATATACAGACAGGGAAGATGCATACTTTCTTGATCCTATCAGAGAGATCCTAAACACAAAAAGAATTTTTTCACACAGGGAGGTGGTATTGAAACTCCTTCAATACCTTGTCCTCTCAGAGCTACCTCCCCTGTAACTATGTGAAGATAACAATTACAGGTAATAAAGCATGATATGGGTTTAAAGTGCTGATTAGTTTGCACTAGATAATTTGGTGTCTTGGTATTTGTGACTTGTTGAATGTATGTAGGTCTCTACCCAGTTAACTGCACTTGGAATTAAGAGGGAAGGGATCTTGATGTTAGAAGAAGTTACTCTTCCTGTAAAATGAATTAAAGAAAATACCACTTCATTTCCATGGCCATCAGTTGGCTGATTGACCATCTAATTAGCTTGTTTCCTTTGACTGACTAGTAATGGACCAAGTCTTATTTATCTACTACACAAAGTTATGCTGAGAACCTTTAACTTTCCAAGCATCAAACTAAAGAAAAGAGCATTCAGGAAAAGAGAAATAATAATAAAATTAGGAAGATTGTTACTTGGACAGTTGAGATTTCTAACACATACCCATATATGAGTTAAAATGCTCCTAAATTCAGGCTTCAAAAAGAAATAGCTAAGACTGTAGAATAATGCTTGCCAATTTTCAAAATTAGTCTTTTTCTCCTTGTTGATTCAGTCAAATGCTGATGTCCAATTCCTCCTCATGGAGTCTCCATTAAAGCAAGCACAATTTTCCACTCAGTGATATATGAGAAAGACTTTGGTAAAATGTTTAATGAGAAAGAAGATTAAAAGAGACAAATATAAGACTTAGAGACAATCTATGTTTATCATCTCCATTTGCACGTATCACCATCATTTTTCCATCTTGTGAAAAACAAAAATCAATAGCAGTTCAACAGCATCAAATAGCACAGATCCAGTAAATAAGGATAAAATCATCAGGCTGTGTTTATAAAATGTTTTAATTGTAAGGAGTTTTTATCTGACATTTGAAATTCCTTAATCTGTGGCTGCTTAGGAGATGTCAAAAAGGTCTATGATACAAGCCTTTCAAGGGCACTCTGATCAGTTAGTGGTAAAGAGTTGCACTGTCAACCCAAGGACTTGCAGTTCAAATCCACCAGCTTCTCCATGGCAGAAAGATGGGAACTCTTCTCCTGTTTGATTAATTGCCTCTGAAAACCTGCTGGAGAGTCAGCTGTGGGTCAGTTATGATTCAGAGGCACACAACAACAACAACAACAACAACAACAACAACAACATGCAAGCATTTCAGACACTTCTGCAGTAGAAGTCTATAACATCAGACCAGGATGTCTAAACTTTGCAATTTAATCAAACCTGTATGTTTTTGAGAAGTGGCACAAGATGTGTAGTTGTGGTACAAAATAGCTCTTATTGTTTACATTTGTTCAACATTGAAACGTCTAAAGTTATATTATGTAAGGAATGACCAATCGATGGGTATGTATGACTATATTTTTACAAAACAGTAGTTTAGGGACTTTTCCGTATCTGTGATATTCAAACTAAGTCATATCAATGTGACCTATAGACCTGAAGGGAAGAAAAACATTTTAAAAGAGAGAAAATAATTTATAATTATGAAACTCAACTCATCATATATGAATCATGTTTTCTTAATTTTGCTTAGGTGAATTTATATAATTTTTCACTTACTAAAACTTTGTTTTCACTAATTTTTTTTTCTCCTATACAAATGCCTAGGCATCCACTGTTAGTCAAAGCCCATGTTAGTCCCTTTGGGTCTCAAGGCAATAGAATGAGACAGCTAGGCAATGAAGTTGTTATTAGTTACCTACGCGTCAACTCAAATCCTGGCAACCCTGTGCATAGGACAAAATTATAGGCAGTCTTGCACTATTTTCATAATTGTTGGTATGCTCAAGTCTACTATTGTAGCCTCTGAAGGTTGGAGTGCCTTCCAATCTAAAAGGCTAATCTTTCAGTAACCTATTTAACAGTATTCTGTTATGACTCATGAGACCTTTTTTTTTTTTTTCTTTTGCTGGCTAATTTTCAGAAGTAGGTAACCAAGCCTTTTATCCTAGTCTGTCCTCCTTTGGAAGTTCCCTGAAACCTGTCCACCATGGGTGACCTTCTTGTAGCCACCACAGGATTGCACACTGACAGATGGGTTGTTGTCATTGTTATGTGCTGTTGAGTCGACCACAGCTCATAGCTACCCTATGAGCAATGGCTCTGAAATTTGTCCTATCCTGAGGCAGACTCACCATCTTTGACTCACCTGACTCCGTTGCCACACTCACTGTGTCAATCCATCTTATCCAGGGTCTTCCTCTTCTACACTGATCCTTTACCCTTCCACATGCCCATGTATATGAGACAGAGCTTCAGAATCCTTGCCTCCAAGTAACAAATTGGTTTCACCCTCTCCAGGACAGACTGATTTGTTCTCTTGGCAGTCCATAGTGTATGTTCAATTCTCTTCTCCAACATCACAACTCAAAGACTTCAGTAATTCTTCTGACATCATTATTCACTGTCCAGCTCTCAAAAGGCATCACAAGTAATTGAGAAGACATGTTTTGAATCAGGCATACCTTAGTTTCTAGGCAGTTGAGTTGTTGTTGTTGTTGTTGTATACCATAGAGTTAGAACTGACCCATAGCTGACCCTGCAGAGGGATTTTTGAAGCAATATTAACATTCTTATTCCACAATGCAACTGGTGGCCTCGAACTTCATGCCTTTGGGATGGAAACACAGTTTCTTGCCACTAGGCCACCAGAGCTGCCTAGATGGTTAGTAGTAGACAAAACTAGTTCATCAAATTTAAGGAAATACTCTCATAATGTTAATGATGTCCTGAAAGAAACAATACCATATTTCAAGCTTTGTTTCAAAAGGATAAAAATGGATGGATTTTACTGTAGATTATGTCACTATATGCATTGTGATATTGTTTACAATTAATGGCCATATGCTGTTGTTAGAGGCAGGTGAGTCAACTAGGACCCTAGTTGTGACCCCATGAACAACGGATCAAAGCCTTGTCGTGTTCTGTGTCATCCTCACAATCTCTATATTATTCAGGCCCATTGTTACAGTCACTGTGTCAGTCGATCTCATTGAGGGTCTTTCTCTCTCAGACCCTCTACCTTTCTCAGCATGTTATCTTTTTCCAAGGACTGACCTCTCCTGGCAACATGCCCAAAATACCTATCTCTATAGCAACCTACATTCTAGAATGAATGGGAGTGGCATTGTAGAGAGAATAAACCTGCAAATGGAGCATATGTGCCAGTTCTGAAAGGTTTGTCCTGAGCAGCTCATTGTTGTTGTTGTTATGTACCGTCGAGTCATTTGCGACTCATAGCGACCCTATACAACAGCCCTAAACCCTGCTCTATCCTGCGCCAACAGCACTGCCTCTGACACACCCATCCCGATTACTCCAGTCACCGAATCAATCCATCTCATAGAGGGTCTTCCCCTCCTGCGCTGTCCCTCCACCCTCCCAAGCATGATGTCCCTCTCCAAGGACCCGTCCCTCCTGGCAACATGTCCAAAGTATGTCAGACAAAGCCCCAGAATCCTTGCCTCCAAGGAGTAGCTTGGTTTAATCCTCTCCAAGATGAATCTGTTTGTTTTCCTGGCAGTCCATGGTACATTCAGTACTCTTCTCCAGCACCACAGCTCAAAGGCATCAACTCTCCTTCTGTCCTCCCTAGTCATTGTCCAACTCTCTGATGCATAACAAGCAATTGCAAAGACCATGGCCTGTATCAGGCACACCTTAGTCTCCAGAGAGACACCGTTGCTCCTGAGTACTTTAGAGAAGTCCCTAACAGCAGACTTTCCCATCGCAATACGCTTTTTGATTTCCTGACTGCTGGTGCCAGGAGTGTTGACTGTGGAGCTGAGCAATTATATTCTTTTTTGGGTGACTTACTGTAATTGATCCAGCAATACACACTGGCCTATATGTCTGGAGATTTCACAAGATGAGTTTAGAATTT